ATTTTAGATCAAGAAGATCAAGATTCAGATCTTGATCAACAGGAGGGCTGTGAGTAGGTGTCTTCTGGGATTCTATCAAGAGTTAGTAGAGATTAACTTCCCTACCAATATTTATTTACTATTTTTATATGTTATTACATTTTTTATGAACCGCTGTGAAATAGATATTTTTGTATTCTCATTGGGCATGCTAATTTATGTGTAAGAATGTAAATCCTAACGTTATTATACGTTTTCACATTTAATTTATGACTTTGTTTTCTTTTAAATTCTGAGTATTTATATTGGATACTTATATACATTTAAGATATATAGAGTTGTTATGAAACGTTTAATTATAACAGATATTTTGTTGTAATCTAACTATAATGTTAATATACCGCAAAACAATATAATAAAAAAAAATTAAAACATGCATATTAAGGATAAAAAAAAACTTTTTAATATTAGGTGAAAACTAATTTTCAAATAATCAATGATTGGATTTATTATAATATATATATATATATACTTTAACTTTGTTGACCAAATTCGCAGTTCTTATATAAAACTCGTGTTCCAGCATTCCATGATTTCATTCCTAATATCAGCTTACAATAAGGAAAAAAGAATACGTTTCTATTAGTATATAATATCCATTCCAACTACGTAAATACCATCCTCATAATTTTCACTCATTTATATATATATATATATATATATTATTTATAATGTTAATTTTATTAATCAAATTTCTTTAGATAATCTTGTCATAAGCGCAATAATTCTTTCAATAAAAAATTGTAGATCCTTAATTTTTCTCAAAAAATAAAAAAGAGAATACATATAATAATTTTCTCAAAAGATACATATACTAAAGTTTTGGTACGTTTCATGTCTATTTGCATTAATAGATTGATTATATTATTTAAAATTAACTATATAATTATTGATGTATAAATAATGCATAATTATTAGAATGTATAAATTTATAATCAATTCAAAAAATTACATATAACTGGGTCACCAAACTGTACTGATGGAGTTATACATTGGGAGTTGAATGTACGTCTCTCATAAGTTAATTAACTTATTTAATTAATCACCGTATTTATTTTCTAATCAAAATGATGAATTTATAATAGTATATATAGCGTATAAAAAATAATTTTCAGTACAGTTTAAAGTATAAAAAATTTATTAATCATGAGTTTTAATCTTAAATATATTTCTTGTTTGATAAAATAGATAAATTATTTAGAAAAAATAGCAATGGTCATGTTTTAAACCATATACTCTCTTATCCAATAATTCTTGAATAAATTACTATACTATTATCTAAAATTTAACATTTATTATAATTTATTCTCTAATTTTTTATATTTTTATTTATTTTAAATATTTAATTTTTTTATTTTCTAACAAAAAAAAATATTAAAATGATAAATAAATATCTGAACCATTTGAAAAATAATATCAAAAGATTATTTAATTTATTAGTATTGGTTAAAATATTAAATTGGTCTTTCTATTATTTAAAATATTCAAATTAATTCTATATGCATATATTTTTTGGAATTTTAATATTTATATTTTTTATAAAAAAATTAATTTTATTGTATCTGTTAATGCATACTATATTATTAGTAGAAGTGTCGTGTGAATTTTGGTTAGATATATATCATATTTTGATTGTATTGAATCTACAGACGACAACTTCAACTTGACTTGTAATGCGATTATTATGGAAGTCATTGTCTTCGATGAAGTTTTTTTCTTTTACGTTTTTAATTTTTCTTTTAATTTTTATTAAATATAATTAAAAATTAAATTTTTTTCTATATTAAATATAGTATCATTGACATATAGCATCTAATGTAGATATTGATTTAAATAAAATAAGACATGTGCTGAATATAAATTCAATGTTGCATTTTTCATTAACAATATTAGTGTGCATTAATGGTTATGAATTATCGTCATAATTTTTTTTTTAAGTACATAAATAAAACTTGCAAAAAAAAAAAAAGAATTAGTATAGAAATTAAAACTATTATTAAGTTAATTATAAATATATAAATATAACTTAATTGTTTAATTTTTTATAATAAACGATATAACAAATTAAGAATATGAAACAAATAAAAATTAAATAATAATAAATAAAAAACTTTGACACTTAATTTAATAATTCAATAATTAAATAGTTATACCTTTTTTTTTTTGGGTCCTTCTATACGGTGTATTCGCACCGTGATATTATTGAAATTTTAAGTATTTTTTACTAAAACGTTTTGTGACCATTGCAATGTTGAGAGACGGTGGGCCAAGCCAGAACAAAAGCACGCAAATTTTGTTAGCCATAATTTGTCAGCATACCTCCATCAATTGTAACGTCTTTCGTCACCCATTTAATTATCACTCCATCCATATGTTCTTGTAGATACATACCCACCATAAATACATGTGACACACAAAAAGCCTCCATATACGCCTTGACAACAGTGCATATATATGTATCTTTGTATCCATCCACACATACACAATTATTTAGCTGCTCTCAGAAGCAAAGCTAGTCCGTCATGACGAGTGGAGCGAGAGAGAATGACAAGAAGAAGAAGAAGAAAATGAGTTCTCTATGGCCATTTTGCTCTGCTAAATGCTTCCAAAATCCATCTTCTGAAGTTGCAGAGCCAGACAAGGCTGATTCAGTCTCCCCTGTTGTAAAGAAGCAGCCTGGAGGATGGAAAACCATGCCTTTCATTTTAGGTTTCTCTATCTCTCTCTCTCTCTCTCTCTATATATATATATATATGTGTGTGTGTGTTTGTGTGTGTACATGTGTAATTGAAGTTGGAGTTATTGCAGGGAATGAGACGCTTGAGAGATTGGCGACGATTGGGCTGTTAGCAAACTTCATGGTTTATCTGATGAGAGAATTTCACATGGAGCAGGTGGCGGCTTCAAATGTTCTCAATATCTGGTCTGGTATTACAAATTTTGCACCTTTGCTCGGTGCTTTCATCTCCGACGCCTACGTCGGAAAATTTCCCACCATTGCCGTCGCTTCTCTCGCTTCTTTTATGGTATGTTATTCTTCACTCCATTTTTTCAAAAAAATTATTACATGCTTAATTCACAAGATTAATTAAATGATTTTATAAATGTGCTGAGTTGTTTTTTCCTAATTGGTTAATTTTATCTTGCTTTATATATAAGGTAAATTCTTTTGTAGATGAGTAAGTCCAGCTTGCACTATTTTTTATGTTAAGAAATTAACATTAAAAAATATAAATTAAGTTCCCCATGAACCCACCTTCTAATTTTTCTAAAAATGGTACCACCATATCTTCTATAATTAACATTTACCCAATTTGATTACATAGATAGAAATGTACAAATAAAATTGAATAATTAATGCATTCTCTTTTCTATTAAATAATTTTTAATTAATGAAATATAAACAAAAAATATGGTGACTTCATTAAAGTCGTTGAGCTCATGTGACTCGTATGTTATGCTTTGCCTTTGCCCATAAATACAATACTCCTCTCTTCTTTTACGCCCGACAGCCACGTGATTAATATATATTCTGCAATTAATTCCATAATTAATTTATATACGCCAACTTTCTTTATATATATATATATATATATATATTGCATTTATAGTATTAAATTAATAATATATCTACATATCAACAGGGAATGGTGATTGTGACCTTAACGGCGGGAATACCAACCCTTCATCCCCCTTCATGCAAACCCACCGCCGGAAACTGCATCGGGCCCAACCGCCTTCAACTGGGTGTCCTGCTGACAGGCCTCGGTTTCTTGACAATTGGGTCCGCCGGGATCAGACCATGTAGCATACCCTTTGGCGTTGACCAGTTTGACCAAACCACGGAGGAAGGAATAAAGGGTGTCAATAGCTTTTTCAATTGGTACTACACCACATTCACTATCGTCCTTTTGATTACACAGACACTGGTGGTTTACATTCAGGACTCTGTTAGCTGGGTCTGGGGATTCGGGATTCCCACAGGGCTCATGGTGGCTTCCATCGTCATGTTCGTCGTTGGGTATAGAATCTACGTTCATGCTATGCCGGAGGGCAGCATATTTTCCGGCATTGCTCAGGTTTGTGTGGCTGCTTTCAAGAAACGCCGGCTTAAGCTTCCTTCAGAGCAGCATGATAACAAAATTAACGGTGGAGGTCTCTTTTATGATCCTCCGTTGAATGGAAGTACAGTGTTGTTCAAACTACCACTTACCAACCAATTCAGGTGATCCATCCAGAATCTATCTTTTTCATTTACAGATGTTACCTATGTTAAATTATCATTAGGAAAATGACAAGATCAAGTTGGTTAATTCTCGAAGTGTGGAGATGTTGAAAGTTGACTTAGATCCTGAAATTAATGAGGTTAGGAATATGGTTATATTGGGTGATGATTAGACATAATGGTTATTTTTTAGTGTTTCAATCTTATGTTTATTACTGAAAATTGGATTTTGTAGGTAGATAACAGATATCCTGTTTAGTTCTGTATCTGTTATAATTAATTTTTTGTCTATGAATTTGCATTGGCTTCTGGGTGATGATTTGACTTGTATTTTCACTAATTAGGTTCTTGAACAAGGCGGCTATGATAGTTGAAGGCGATGAGTTGAAGCCAGATGGATCACCAGCAAATAAATGGAGATTGACCAGCATCCAAAACGTTGAAGAAGTAAAATGCCTGATAAAAATAATTCCCATATGGGCTTCCGGCATCATCAGCTTCACAGCCATGTCCCAGCAAGGAACATTCATAGTATCACAAGCCATGAACATGGACCGTCACCTGGGCCACAACTTCCAAATCCCACCAGGCTCCATCAGCATCATCTCCATGATCACTGTAGGAATCTGGCTCCCCTTCTACGACAGATTCATGGTGCCAGCCCTGCGCAAACTCACCAAACACGAAGGAGGAATCACGCTTCTCCAAAGAATTGGAATTGGGATCGTGTTTTCAGTTTTAGCCATGGTGGTCGCCGGGTTGGTCGAGAAGGAAAGAAGGGCTGCAGCCATTTCGCACCCTAATTCCCCCATGTCCGTCATGTGGCTTGCTCCTCAGCTCATCGTGCTGGGATTATGCGAGGCATTTAGTGCACTTGGGCTGATTGAGTTTTTCAACAGGCAGTTTCCTGAACACATGAGGAGTATTGCGAATTCTCTTCTGTTTTGCTCCTTTGCCGGATCTAGCTACCTCAGCACCTTGTTGGTCAACACTGTGCACGCAGTCACCGGAGGCCATGGCCGGCCGGACTGGCTAGCCAACGATATTAATTCCGGCAGATTGGATTACTTCTACTATCTTGTAGCAGGGTTGGGGGTGTTGAACTTTATCTACTTTCTCTATGTTGCTCGACGTTATCGGTATAAGCTAAAGAATTTACTAGTTGGAGAGACGCCATTTTTAGACGTAGATCTAAGTTCATCCAAGCCATGAAGTCATCGTCACCAACTACGTCACTAGCTAATTAAATAAAGTACCATGCGTGGCCTACGACAAACATGTAATTAATAATATTTAGAAGATAAATAGAGTTATTACTTATAATTATCACCCGTCCCTTTCTTCATCTATATATCTCTCTCTATATATATATATATATGAGACTGAATGCATATAGTCATATTCGAACATTAATACATATAGAAGGGCGTGCCTTTCATTTCAATGATAAGTTCATTAGTTTTTTGAAATAAGAATTCAAACCTAGTTATTATCTAATTTAATTATTATAGTAATACGAATATATTATTAAATTAAATATTTAAATTAATTATTAATAATTTATAATATATTTATTAAATAATAATTTTTTAAATAAAATATAAAATATTAATCATTAAACTACATTCAAAGTCCACTTTGATGAGGAACAAATTATATATATTATAATTAACATAACATTACACGTGCGAGGGAAAATATAGCTAATGTAGCTACTTATATAGAGTTGGGTGATCATGATAAGCCAACTTTTTAATAATTTGATTGAATAGTATTTTTAATATTTTTCTATACATATAGATGTGTGTGTATATATAGCTTCAAGTCCTCAATTGTACCATAAAATAAATAATATTTAAAAACAAAAAACAAAAAACTTTGTAATAACTCGGTTGTGTCTGTGTCATAAATCTGGCGCGGCCTAAAAGCTGTCAGCGTTGAGGATGACCGAACGAGTCTCCTCAACGGTGATACGTTCATTAATAATTAACATATAATGAATAATTTATATATTTATTAATTAAATAATTTAATAAAAAATAATTATAGCATCATATAAATAATTTTTAAAATTAAAAAATATATAACGACACACAGAATATGTCTTCGAGAGGCATTGACTACAAATATCGTCCTGTCAATTTTTTCCTCTTACATTTTTTATCCTTTTCTTAAGTGCATATTTACGACTCTCGTCTCGACTATTCGTGGTGGGTCAGTAGAAAGATTTTTCTCCATATGATTACAATATAATTTCAGCTTTCTTTCTTTAGTTATATATACATATATGTACATATATATATATGATGCAAAACTCCATAAATGGATACTGCCACCTAATCTTGAAGTAGATGGACGTTAATTATGTGTTGGGTTAATCTCTCCTTATTAATATTATATATATACATATATATAAATATTAATTTAACTATTTAAATTGATATTAATTCATATTATATAACTAATGAGAATATACATATATATATATATATATATACACACACACACTAACAAATTGTATAATCTCCCAAAATTGAATCCTGACTTCCCAACAAAATGGTTTAATTTCAGTACATCAATATCAATTAACATTAATTGTTGACCCGTTTACAAGATCACTCAAAAGTTCTGCAAGAGAAGATTACATTTGACTGGTTTGTTTTTCCTTTGATTTCTTTACCTTAATTATTGTGGGAACTTGAGATGTAATTTTTCTATCAGTCGGATAATACATAAATTTATCAATTAAATAATATATAAATATCAAATATAACATAAATATATAATTTTTAAATAAAAATATAGTTCATTTTAAATTCACGATCTCTTAGATATAAAATAATATAGCAATTATTACGTTAAATAATGATCTAATCACAATATGAGTTTGAATTAGTTTTAAGTTAAGATTTCAAATTTTATACATTGTTTTTATTGTGGAAGGTTTAATTATGTAATACTCAACTGGTGTCCAGTTGGGTATAAAAATATATATATACAATTAATTATAAATAAAGAAAAAAAGAAGAAGAATGTAGAGAGAAGGATAATAAACCATGCGACAAATATGTATATATATATATGTAATGAAAGAGCATAAAAAAAAAAAGAAAAGAAAAAGAAAAAAAGAAAAAGAGCCTAGTTCGAGTGGGTGAGAGAGGAGGCCGAGCTGAGTGTGGATCGGGGTCGAGAGAGAGGAGTGAGGGGAGGAGCTTTTGTAACAACCCGGAACTTAAAAAGAAATAAATTATAACTTGAATGCAGAAGCGAAATAATATCGTTATGGTTTACATTACTTACACAATAATTCAAAATACACAATAGGGCTACGAAAATGACCATTTTAAAAGAACAATAAAAAATCAAAGAAATAAATAGAAAGTAAATAATTGAGCATCTTATTCACAACCCTTTTATGGATCGGGATATGGGTCTTGGTCCTCTTGATCTGAAATGCTTAATGAAAGAGTGAACTACACTATCCCAGTAAGAATGTCACACTACTCACCGATACAGAAATGAAGGTTGGTAAAAATCATGAAAACAACTAATGGAGCTCTTAATTTAAGTAAATTCATTTATCAAAAATAAAATCATTTATTGTACATTTACCGTACCGAAATTTCAAAATTGACCTATAGAGGCAATAACACAGCAATATCATAATCTTATATTCAATTAATCAAAATAAAAACTTTCTATTTTAACCTGCCTATTAGTATCTATGGGGCCCATAGAGATGTCCCCACTACACGTGAACTCTTATTCAATATTATTAACTAACCGACCGTTCCCATACCCCGTTCAGTATGAGAGCCAAAAATATCACCTCTCAATACCCTATTCGGTATGAGAGTGAAACGGGTCGTCCCCATACCCCGTCCGGTATGAGTACCAAAATACTAATCCTCTATACCCCGTCCAGTATGAGGCAACATTCACGGTAGGATTTTCTATGCACCCAGTCCATCCACCATCTCCTAAGATATCCAATAAGGTTACCATTTATTCATTCACTTAATCAAACAATTCTTCGTTTATATTTAATTTTCAGTTTCATAATTTAACTGTAAATCACGCAAAATCAACAATACATACATCAAAGAAACACAACTGAATCATCTCACCAACTCTAGTGTATTATCATGCAGTTAAAACTGTAAAATCAATCAATCAATTAAAACAAGATAAACAGTGATAAATAACCAATTTCGACTCCATTATAACCTGTGATTAATTATCAAAATTTTTTAAATTATACAAAATACCACATTATTTATAATTAAAATTCAATTCTATAACAAGGAATAGGGTGAAGGATTCTTACGCGAATCAGTGTTCGAACACTAAACTTTCAACTGCGCCTACTGGCGGTTCTCGGATTTTGGATATTAAAGCACGTTCCAAGTATCTAAAAATACCCCTAAAAAATCTAAAATTGGTGTTCAAATCCTTTTTCGGCCAATTTTAAAATTTTGGCACGGCAACACTGCCGTGCTCCGGTGACAACACCGTCGTCCGTGGCGATGATTTGCCTCGAACTGGCCATTTTCAGCCAATTTTGGTCGATTTCGATCGATTTTATACTCATCCCTGCCAGAAAACTCGTTAAGGGACCTCGGTTGGCCAAAAAAATAAAAAAATAGAAGCTTACCGGCGGTGGAGTTTTTCGGTGTTGCAGCTCTGCCGGCTCACCTTCGCTGTTGGGTGTTTTTTTTCAATTAACCTGTGGGAAACAAATAGTGAATACAATGGTAAAAAATAGCATGAAACGAGAATCGAAAAAGGTCTCATCGGAGATACTTTTTCATTTTTTTTGCGACGGCGCCGCCGGACTTTACTAGTAGTTTCTGACTCATTCGTCGATTTTTTTTTTCCGATTTGGCCATGGGGGTATTTAAAATCAAATTTTGAGTGACTTGGAGAATTTTTTACCTTTTTGGCAGTCGGAGGTAGCTCCGGCGCGGCGACGAGCGGCGGTCGGCTCCCTTCCCAGCGACTAGTTCTTCTTTTTCAGGGGGAGGGGGGCTGGCGGCTCGGGTTAGGGTTTGGTGTGAAGTATTTATATCTGTCTTTTTTTAATCTGAACCGTCCATCTCATTTGATCTCGATCGTCCGATCGCGTTTAAATAAGAAATGAATCTAGACCGTTTATCGCAATTTGATCTGGACCATACGATTGCGTTTAAAGAAGAAACGAATCTGCACCGTTTATCGTATTTAATCATGACCGTCTGATCACGCCTGAGGATGGAACGGATCCAGACCGTCCACGCACGAGGGAACAAATCTGGACTGTCCGATTGCGGGCAGGCAAATTACGAGCGTGGCACCACGTCAGCATGCCTTGCCACACGGCGCGCTCGGATTCATCCAAGCTACTGACTGGGCAGTCCTATGTGGCACATTTTTTTTAAATTACGTTTTAACCCCTAGTTTCTGATTTTTCTTTTAAAAACACCATCAGAACCCAAATTTTCACCCTTTTTTTCTAAAATTATTTTTAATTTCATCATCCACCTATTTTTCTTAATTTTTACATTAGATAAAAATTTATAAATTTTAAAATTATATTTTATACATTAATTTTAAATATTTTAAAATTAATTCTGGGTATTACAACTCTCCCTCCTTAAAAGAAATTTGGTCCTTCAAATTTGTCTCTCTCTCTCACTCAATCAAACAATTGGGGATACTGGGCTCTGAAGTCTGATTCTAGCTCCCATGTGGCCTCTCCTTGTATGTAATTCTGTCATAGGACCTTAACGAAGGAAATTTTCTGGTTACGAAGTACTTTACTCTTTCGGTCCACAATACCGATCGGTACTTTCTTGTAGGACAGATCTTCCTAGAGTGAGAGAGGCTAGTGGGCCAAGATGTGATAGGAGTCCGGGTTATACTTGCGTAGCAAGGATACATGAAACACATTATGGACCCTGGATAGTTCTGGAGGCAGTGTCAGTCTATAGGCGGTAGTATCAATTCTGTCTAAGATTTCAAATGACCCAATAAACCGGGAGATTTAGTTTTTTCCTCTTGCCAAACTTACTGATTTTCTTGAAATGAGTGACCTTAAGGAACACTCGATCACCTTTCTCAAATTCCAAATCCCTCTTCCGTGTATCCGTATAACTCTTATGCTTACTCTGAACTGTCTTAATGTTCTTCCTAATCTTAACTATTTTGGTTGTAGTCTCATCCACAAGATCTGGACCGAACAATCTTCTATCACCCATCTCTTCCTAACAAATCGGCGATTTGTTTGAGCGGCCATACAACGCCTTATATGGAGCCATGCCGATACTTGCTTGGTACCTGTTATTGTA